AAAAAAATATTTGAAGTATCCGGGTTGAAAAAAGAAATTCTTCTGAATCCCTTAAGTAGATCATTTTCTTTAATATTTATTTTATTTATTTTGTGTCAAAACTCCCTTGAAGAAAACAAATGACTTTTTTTTTTGTAGATGGAAGTTTCTGTCCTGCCCCGTCCTGCAGCCCTTTGGTCCCAAATCAACACGCAGAGGCTTATATTCATTATAAACTGTTGGGCCAATGGCTCAGGTTTCTTATTAGCTAGCTCTCTCTTAATCACTAACCCGTTTCTATCAATCTGTGCATCTCCACTCAGTCTTGGCTTACCAGAGATGCCTGGGTCTCTTATTTCTTCTATAGCCACATGTTGTCTCCCTGGCAACTCACTCTCTGTGTTCCTCTTCCCAGAATTCTAGTCGGTTAGCCCTGCCTATACTTCCTGCCTGGCTACATCCTGCCTGTCCATTGGCCAAAACAGCTATATTCATCAACCAATAAAAGAAATATGTATTCACAGCATACAGAAGGACATCCCTATCAGTTTTTCAATATCATTATGATTTGTTTTATGATAGAAATACTTAGTAGTTGATTTCAATAGATATGCCCATGCAGCCTAAATTTATACCCAGGAGCTTATTAAGCCATGTAAATTCCACCTTAAAATACATTATCTTATGTTCCTGGAGCTGAGTTTGGCAAACTGAGAAATTACCTTCCCTTAAATGAAGCAAATGACATCTACCTTATAATGCTAGAAAATGAAATAATAAATGTGCATCATTTGACAAATCCTGCTAAATTTATATCCCAATCTTGAGAAGATCCTGCACATAATAGGTACCCACAAATGTGCTTGATTACATAATTATATATTTCACTATTCGGTTTATACCTACCTTCATAGAAGAGTGAACGTTCTTGGGGAGGGAAACAGTTCTATATTTTCCAATAACAGACCTATTAATGTAATTTTTCTTCAAAATACTAACTAGTATTTTCATTGTGTCTATGTCAATATCGATGTTCACATCACAAATACGCTACAAAAACCTGTTTTAAATCAGAAGGATGCTTCGTGCATAGGAAAAGGATATATATTAAAATGTTATCCAAGGATAGGAAGATTTAAAGTACTAATTATTATTTTAAGTGATTTTTATGCCAGTTTTACTGTACCACCCAACATATTATCTCACAGGGCTAATAATACCACTGGAATTTAACAAATGCATCCAGGAATTATATTTATTTTATTTAAATTTAAAATTAATTGTATTTAAAAATCTGTCAATGTTAGTGTCTGTGGTAAGCCTGAGAAGGAAATATTAGATAACTAAAGAGAAGAAAGGGTAACTTTCCAAAAATAACACACCTCAGACAAGCGCAGCGGCGGGAATGAGCAGGCACATCCCAGGGTCCTCAATCCTGTCACAGCTTCCCAGAATCAGGCTGTCCTAGTCACTGAGGGACATTATTGTGCCTGGCCCCCAGGCCCGACTCAAACTATCATTAAAAGTTGTTCTCTTTAGCTTAATTCTCACGTATCCATTTACCTTTAGGTCAAGGAACACAGGAAAAACTAATTCATTAACTGGAAAATTAAAAATAATACCCGCAGAGTTTCCACGCTTGTGTATTGTCTTCTGCTGAAGGCCTGTGAGTTAAATGTTAACATTCGGATTGGAAATGTCTTTTGTTGGTCGTTGGTAGTGATAAGCAGCCGCTGAACACTATGCCAACAGCAGTGGGGTTTTTTGGGGGTTTTTTGTTTTGTTTTTTTTGATGGAAGTGTATTTATACCAAGAAAGGTGCTCCTGGCTACACTTTATTGGATTTTGTTTTCCTTTCAAATGTCCTATTAAAAGGGCCTCGAAACTAGACATGACTTTTTTCCTTTGTATCCTTTTTTTAATTTAGACCTTTTTTATTATAAATATTTCTCACTTTATTTATTTTATTTTACATGTCAATCCCAGTTCCCTCTCCCTCACTCCCTCTTCCCTCCTCTCCCACCCTCTCATGCCCCCACCACCACCCTTCCCTCTCATCCCTCCCCCACATGTAGGGTGGTGCCTTCCAGGAGGGGTCATCTAAATCTGTCATTTGGAGTAGGGACTAGGACTTCTCTCCTGTCTCTAGGTTAAGGGAGTAACCCTCCACAGGGAATGTGCTCCCAAAGTCCTTTTTTGCACCAGGGATACATCCTGGTTCCACTGTCTGAGGTCCCTTAGACTGCCCAGGCCTTTTAGCAAGACCCATGTTCAGGGGGTCTGAGTCAGTCCCATGCTGGCTTCCCAGCTATCAGTCTGGGGGCCTGTTAGCTCCTCCTTGTTCAGGTAAGCTGTCTTTATGTGTTTCTGCTGCCTGGTCTTGTCCTCTCTCTCTGCATCTGGAGTCCAGTTCGACTCAGTGTTTAGTTGTGGGTGTCTGCTTCTGTTTCCATCAGCTACTAGATGAGGGCTTCATGATGGTAGAAAAGTTAATTTAGACATTTTTAACTGAACAACCTAAAGGCATTTAAATTGCTCAGGATACTGAATCTGTTGAGTTTTTCTTTGTAAAACTGAAGTGATAATGAACAAAATTGCTATCAAGACTGAAAGAAACAAGGTGGTTAAAGTCATAGCACAGTGGTTGGACCATAACAAGCAGATTTTCAGTAACCCAAAATATGGTCCATGAGATTTGCTCACTAAAAGCAAACTGAGCGAATGTTGAGGTTTAATGTAAATACTGTATTCAAGTAATGCCATTTATTAAAAATGGCCATTCCTTTGCATTGTTACTGCCTTTGCATGAATGAACAAAGTAGTAAGGGTTTGTTTTTCTATGTCTATCTAAAGGGTAGAAAATTCTAGTAATTATATTTCAGTAATTATATATTATAATATTCAATATTATATATGTTAATCTGCACATTAGGCCACCTAAGAGCAAATAAAGCAGTCAATAATGGCTTATTGTTATCATCAGTAATTATAATATTCAAATATTATATGCATTAAAATCAATCTGCACATTAGATCAACTAAAAGCAAACACGCCAGTCATTAATGCCTTAAGACGCAAAGGTCACGAACTGAAACTTTTTCAGTGGTTTGAAATTACCTTCCAGCTGCACTCTTCCAGAGTCCGTCCTGTGACCCATGTTCCTCTCTCTTTTTTTGATTAAATAATGTTCCTCTGCTCTTACCACCTATGTCCTTCGTGTGAACTTGTCAAATCATCTCAGTCTTATCTTTTGTAATGTACAAGGCCTTTATGTAGCTCTCCGAGAGACTATGACAAAAGTCCAAGTGGGAGAATAATTTATGAGATTTCGAATGAAGGGCCATTATTAACATTGTCTTGCCTGCATTTGGCACATAGCCTCCCATTCACGCATGGCAGGATTTTCACTCAGTCATCAGAGGGAGAAGTGTCTGAGTGAAGTCTTACAAATGATATCATTGGTTACATGTGCTTACAGTGGCTTCCACTTTTTTAAAGAAAGCGTGGACTGTTAAGTTTGTTAGAGAACATTAGGAAAACATGTCTCTACTGTTCACACAAGTGTTGCCGTGGCTATAAACATGGTTTCAAACATGGTAATTGTGTATGTTCTGGGTTATTATCTAATATTCAATAATATGCAAAGTGAATGTTCTTCACTACAAAGCTAAATGTGGAGAAAGCATGCAAGAGTGGGTTTTCTGTTTTGAAGAGAGGTTAATTGTAAGTGTTTTTACTTTACCAGAGTACTCCTGACTTGTGTTCAACAGTCATCGGCACTAATGATGTTTGTGCGGCTCAGGGAAAATTATGCTTTTTCTTACTATTTCAGTACCCAATGTCTTTTTCTTATTACAACAGACAAATCTAATTACTTCTGATGAATTTGAAGAGCTGTTATTTGGGTCATGAATAATTCCATTTCAGACAAAGTTAGAGTTCAAATATACCCATGAAACTTTTTATCAGCCAATTGGATGCTAAGTAAGGAAATATTTTAGCTCCCAGCAGTTGGACAAATAGGATAGAAAACTCCTTGTGTGCATTCTTTGGTATATACTTTGTTATGTTAAACAGTCTTTAAATCTTCTGTTATCCAGAACTCATTATTACTTCCTTCTCTCCATCCCCTGTGTGTTCTCACTGAGCACCGTTCATGGTGTCCATCTATCTTTGATAACCCTCTTCCTGTATCTCATGTCGCCTAAGGGTTCTTGACATCACTGGATCCTACGTCTTGAATACAAAGAAATTATAGCCACCAATACTTGAGCTCTTGCTGTATGCTTGATGCCATTGTAAGCTTTTTTAGTCTTTTGACTTTAATCAGCTGAAGGAAACGGTTGCTGCTATATTCTTCACTTGATGGAGAAGAAAACAGAAGGGACCATTAAGCAATCAGGGCAGTCATGTAACCTCTACCTGGCCAAGCCCCGTCCATCTCTCCATGAACTACTCTCACGGCACCAAATACTTATTCCTTGCCTTCAGTATGGTTATACCTTTTACATTTGGTTGGTTGGTTGTGTGATTAACTTCGGCCCTTCTTCCATGCTGTAACATTTTAAGATGACATTTAGCATTTGCTTGATGAATAATTACAGTTGCCATGAATTTCATGCTGGCCAATGCATCTTAATATTTAATTCTCACAAGACTCACTAAGGTGCTTAGCACTTTTACCTCTACTGAACAGATGGAGAAACTGAGGTGAAGAAGGGATTCGCTAACAATATCAGTGCTAGTACAGGATGAAACAAGGGCTCAAACTCAGAAAACTGGCCGGAGAGTTATGCTGGGCATAAAGGAAGAAATGAATGGATGGGAAATTAACTTGGAGCACAAGGGAGAGGTGACATTTGATGTAGATAGAGGTAGAGCAGTTCAGGCACAGGCCACAGAGGTGGATAACACCCGTGGAGTAAAGTAGAGGGGGCATCCAACCACAGGGATGGTCGTCTGTGGCACTGGGTTAGCCAGTTCTGTTGCTAATGTCCTTCTCTCTCTCTCTCTCTTTCAGTGCCACCGTGGGCCTTAATTGCCATAGCCATAGTTGCAGTCCTTTTAGTCGTGACCTGCTGCTTTTGTGTCTGTAAGAAATGTTTGTTCAAAAAGAAAAACAAGAAGAAGGGCAAGGAAAAGGGAGGAAAGAATGCCATTAACATGAAAGACGTCAAAGACTTAGGGAAGACCATGAAGGATCAGGTAATGGACACACCCCTTGTTTACCTTATCTCTTCCTGTTAAGTCACCAGGAAGGGCTCTGTTCTTTTATGACAGATGCTCATGGAGATGAACAATTCGTGGCTATGGTTGTTTTCGTAGAGATGCTTGACAGTCCTGTCAGTCCCCCAAAGTGTAGTGGACAGTAGCACAGTGGGGGTTTCTGTTTTTTGTTTTTGTTTCTCTCTCTCTCTCTCTCTCTCTCTCTCTCTCTCTCTCTCTCTCTTTCTCTCTCGATCAGGCAGACAGACAGACAGACAGACAGACACACACACACACACACACACACACACACCAGAGAGCTCTACACCAGCATGTGTGGCTTCGTGGGCTTGGCAAAATAAGGTGATTCCTGTGTGAAGCATGTTCCTAATTAGTCTTGATAGTAAAAATCTGAAGGGAGATATCGGGGCAGAAGCTGGAAGATCAGAGAAGGGCCAGCCACAGTCACCTCTTACCTCTCCAGCTCCTCAGATCACAAGGGCAGAGCTCCTGTCTGTGCCCCATGTTGCCACTTCTGTCCCCTTCCTTACAGACCTCTATGGTTAACAAGTGGCCCATATCACCCCCACCACCCCCACCATCACCCATCACCACCCCCAGCATCACCCACACCACCACCCACACCACCACCACCATCACCACCCCCACCACCCCCACCCCCACCATCACCCACACCACCACCACCCATCACCACCACCACCCATCACCACCACCACCCATCACCACCACCACCCATCGCCACCACCACCACCCCCACCATCACCCATCACCACCCCCAGCATCACCCACACCACCACCACCCATCACCACCCCCACCACCCCCACCATCACCACCCCCACCATCACCCATCACCATCCCCACCACCCCCACCCCCACCATCACCCACACCACCACCACCACCCATCACCACCCCCACCACCCCCACCACCACCACCACCCATCGCCACCACCACCACCCATCACCACCCCCACCACCCCCACTCCCACCATCACCCACACCACCACCACCCATCACCACCCCCACCACCCCCACCACCACCACCACCCATCGCCACCACCACCACCCATCACCACCCCCACCACCCCCACCCCCCACCATCACCCACACCACCACCACCCATCACCACCCCCACCACCCCCACCACCACCCATCACCATCCCCACCACCCCCACCCCCACCATCACCCACACCACCACCACCACCACCACCCATCACCACCACCACCCCGATCTCCAGGAAAGCTTTATTTGTCAGAACATAAACAAAATATCACAACACCTGAGCCTTTTTATTCCATATCATATAGCCAATCTTGATCGGAGTATTTTTGTTTGTTTTTTGATTTGTTTTTTTTTTTTTTTTGTAATAATACAAGGTACCTGAGTGCTTTCCCTCCTGGACAGGAGCCCTTTCTGACTCATCCACTGCCCTCAGTCTTTGTTAAATAGCTTCATCATACTTAGTAATTGCCAACGTTGGCAGAGCATGTGGCTCAGCCATCATTTGCCAGAGATAATGAGTTGTATGTAGTGAAGGGAGACAAGATCAAGTCCTAAAGAACAAGACAGAGTTGAAAAACAAAATTATATTCCCTCAGTTAATGACCATAATTAGAACCATGATGATGCATGCATAGAGAAAGCATTTTGATGTTGTAGCCTATTTTTAACTAAATGAGCTGGACACCTTTGTCAAGTTAAAGCTTAATAAAAAGTATTAAATATTTGTTCACTTTTGAAAAATACGTAAATGTTTATAAAGAAAATTTAATGCATGAAATGGAATGTAAAGACTTTTTCATAGAAATATTTGTAGTTATTATTTCCTATCAGATAATTGTAATAGAAGTTTTTCCAACTGTCTTATAGTAGTAATTACTATTAACTGAATCATTGACGCATGAACCTACGAACAGTTTGATCAGATATTACCACAAGCCTCACGGAACATACATGCAGCTTCCTGGTTCTCTACACACTCACAATCTACCCCTCTTTCCAGTCGGAAATTTCAACTCCTTCTCAAAGACGCTGTAGTGTCTATTGACAGCCGTTTCCCCGGGATCACTTCTCATTCCGTGTAGCTGAGTTTGGCGGCAGGGCTGTGGAGTGGACGGGAAGTCTAGTCTAATGCTCAGAGAGCTTAGCCTGTGTAGCAAATGTTCATATACAAGTACAGATTAACTAAGAGGGATTTGTCTTTCTCTTCATTTAATTTGTTAAGTAAATGCTCAAATTGTGGATTATAGCAAGTAGGATTTAGTACTGATTTTCTCCCTTCTTACTCAGTTGGTTTTTTTTAAGATATGATCACAGATTTAAAAAAAAAAAAGTTTTATAATTAAGCATATAAATAATTTCTCTGGATGAACATGGGCTAGAGAAAGGTTGCTATTTTAGCAATATCTTTGAAAATGTTGAATATATAGTGCTATTATTTTTATAGTTGTGATTTTCCTGTGTCCTGGAACTAATGCTTAAATGCACTGGTAAATGTTAAAGGGCAAGTGGAGCATTCCTTTCTAGGATAAGGCAGTTATATTTTCATTTGTGAGTTTGTTCTGTATGCTGTAATAGTATAATTGATGGCACAGTGCCAATATCCCCATTACACCATGGATAAATGACCAAAATCTCACATATAAACTTGATGATGACTTTCCCATCTGTCACATGTCCCTTTGGATGGAGAGTGGTAGAGTAATATGCACCACATGAGGAAGTAGTAGGGAAAAGTCAGTGACATAGTAGTTTATAATAATTTACTGTCATAGCAAAGTATTTAGAATTTCAACCACTTAAAACGGTTTCCATTACTTTAAGTCAACCACTTTATGTACTTCAGGGCAGTAGGCAGGTACAATTTTTTAAGTGTGTAGAATGAAATATAATTGGAATAGTGACGTCATCATGCACCAATGAGAATTATGTAACGGCAGTACATGTTTCTACCAGTCCTCACAAAATTACTTATGGCTTATGAAGATGGAGGATAAAGATGAAAAACAGCATGCACAGATTTTTAGGAGAGTGACATGTGGTGTCCCATGATCCTCCACATTATACTGATGAAACTCATCTAACACTCTGGTTTCAAAATACTTTGAGCAGCATATCACAGTGAACATAGAGAAGAGAAACAAGGCCAGACTATGGCTCTCTAAATTCTAATATAAGACAGGACAAATAGGAACAATTTTTAGATGTAACTCCTAAAGCTATAGAGGCTTCATAGCAATCAATAAGTTTTTTATTACTTCAATCCATTCCAAACGCCCAGAAATTCAAATTTTAACATTCATGGCTATGTATCTCTCAGAAAGGTTTTGTAACCTTTAAGAAATACTCTTTTAAAATTCAGCAATGACTTCAAAAGTAAACTCTAGATAGTATATTTGTGTTACAAAAGATTCATAGTTAGGGTTTTTTAAACAGCTTGAGTTTTGAGATCACTAACAGTGCAGGGGAAATAATAGCAACCTATAGAATCATAAGCTTAGTATGGTCATTTCTCCATGGTTTTCACTGATGTGTGTGGATACTTTAATTTTTATTTCTTCCTTCTATGTCCTCCTTATCTGTGTTATGTCTCATGACTGTTCTGGACTGTCCCTTGCGGTAGGTTTCTTCTGCTACTAGACATCTCTAATCAATGCTGGTGGCTGGGCTCCACAGCTGAGGGCTTACCATTCTGACATCAAGAGGCTGAACTCAACTGATCTTCAGAGATGAAGTGTTTCCTTTTAAACATTGCTAACATGGGCTACAGAGAACAGAATTTGAAAGGTTTGCATTGATAGAGTAGAAAGAAGATGCAGTCCTCGCACTCCCTTTTCACAGGCCCTACCAAACCCCATGTGAGCACTGGACGCTAGAACGAGCACACACTTTTTCTGATGACTGTAGACTAGGTAAAGTTTGAATGCCAAAGCAAACCACAAATGTGTCCATCTAAACCTGAGAACTCGATAAAAGACCTAATGTTCATGACCAAGTTTCCCTAGTATAATTTTCCTGACTTCAAAAAAACTGGATTTACAAGCTTTTTCATCTGAGTTGTTTTTCTCCTATGGAGGGATACATACTACTCTCAAGATATTATAATAGCTGCTGACTCAATAGGTCTGAGTTTACTGTATTGGTGCCTGGCCTCCAGGATAGGAATAGACTACTTAATCACTTCGGTGATGAATAGGAACTCTGAAAAATTATCAAAAATTTAGCCCCATTTCATACAAAATAATCAGAGATGGCCCTGCACCTTCTGTTCTATTCTGGCATCAAGAAAGGAAGAAGGGAAGGAAGGAGGGAAGGAAGGAAGGAAGGAAGGAAGGAAGGAAGGAAGGAAGGAAGGCAGAAATCACCTAGGGAAAAGGAGATTTAATATGTTGGCTATTTCAAGTTGCATTGGGCTGAAACATGATATATAAATAGTCAACTCTGAAAAGAAACTTTTGAAATAGTATTTAAATTCATGATTTTCTTTTACCTGTGACAATGGAGTGACATGTAGGTATTTTGTCAGTGGATACATTAAGGAAATCTCTATTCTCTTTAAAAAAAAAAATCAATCAAACTATTACAGGGAGGCAAGCTAGCTAAACTGTAGTTTTCTAAACACACCCTCTATGGCAGTACCAAAGGTTATGTAGGGCTCTCAGGGACAAGGGGAGTTGAGCCAGACTCAAACACCTTAGTGCATTCATCATGTCCCTGCCTTGGTTCTTACATAATTAATATTCAAGGAAGCACCCAAGTATAGATTAGTCTTTCTAAATTAAATGGTATAGGGCTAGCCACATTTAAAAAAGGTTAATTTTCAACTTCTCAGACGCCTTGTAGATTGCTGAGATGGGACACATGGATAACAGCTCCCCTGTGCTCAGATGTCTTCTAACCAGAGAGCAGAACTTACGAGCTCTGACAGCCTCCCTGCAGACGAGTTTGGGTGATCCCCGTGGGGTTAGCTGGGAGGAGCCAGACTAGACAAGGGTCGCCATTCTCAGCACCACTGAGGTTCTCTGTGTAAGCTATGAGTGAAGGGAGAGTCTCCACTCAGAATGACGGTGGCAGAGAAAAGGCTCAGGTACGGAGGGACAGCAAGATGGTGAGCCATCGTCTGATGGCTAAACCTATCACTTCTGAGTCCTGGAAGAATTCTCCAATCAGCTCGGGAGCTGACAGTAGTTACGGGACAGTAAAGACTCTTAAATGTTGGCAGACTTATGATGGTCCATTGCTCATACTTTCTTTCAATTTTGGGGAGATTCTGCAGCTGCATACATGCAAGAAAAATGAGATAGTATAAAAGTGATGTTTAAAAACAAATGACCAGGGAAAGTACAGGCGATGACCAGAACAAAATATGTGGATGGCTACTATATAGGCCTTTAAATTTTTCAAACATACTAGTGAATTTTCAATTTACAATTATGAAGAATGAACACGCATAATAGTGTATCTGTATATCCCCGTAAAGAAATCTTCCACTACTATAAACCTTTGTAATAGAAATATTTGGAATAATTTTTGCATCTACAGAACTTTTTATATACTTTCATTTCTGAAATACTGATGATGCTCTTTCAAATGTTTTAATGTATATTCTACCACTAAGATTGAAGAATAATTGTTTAGATCAGCTTTTCTAAGTCTAGTATCATAGCCCTTGTTGTTTAATTCAAAATTAATTTTACACCCATGAGTTTTTCAGAAATTACAAACACGACTCTTTTTGTCTTTGATATCTAGTACACTCAAATCAGTTGAATTCAGCCTTGCTTTCTGTGGAGCTGTTCTGAAAATCAAATGGTAAAGTTCACCCGGAAGTGGGGTGAACTAGTCTCTAAACATGCATTTGCTGGTGGCATGTTTTCTCCTTTTTTCTTAAATATTACAACCATTCATGTAACGCACAAAGAATTGACATTTTCTGAGGGTCACTCAGCCATCTTTGGCACAAGCAATCAGGCAACAGAAGGCCATGCATCCCATCTGAATCTCTCCACTGCATGTACCAATGATGCCTTACATGAGGCTGAGCGCCTCTGCGGCTATGAGAATGTGAAACCCAGCCTCGATACAAGCATGTCTATCGTACTAGAAACAAAGAGGCAATGTCATCAGAGCCAAGGATGATACCAAGTTGACATTCTCCTTGCAACAGTGTTCTAGTTTTGCTTGCTATCCTCGGAGGGGGGCTTCTTCCATCGCTTCCATGTTGCTTGCTGATTGGGAGGGAAAGGACGTGCACAGGTGGAATTTAAAGATGGATTTGTGTGTAAGCAACAAATGAGAATGTGATAGGCAAGTAGATTTCAGCATCATAGCGCTTGCTTCAAACAGCTTGGAGGTGTGGCCAGTTGCATGTGGACTTTGATGACAATCCGTCGGGCTTTCTGTCTCCTCTCCATAGGCCCTCAAGGATGATGATGCTGAAACCGGATTGACCGATGGGGAAGAAAAGGAAGAGCCCAAGGAAGAAGAAAAACTGGGGAAACTCCAATATTCACTGGATTATGACTTCCAGAATAACCAGGTCTGAGGGGCAAACGTCTGATTCCATTACACTTTCTGAAATTACCGAGTAGCAATTGAAGCAAGACACTCACCTTAAAACATTTCGTTTGCTGGGAGGGGAAAATGCAATTATCAAAGCTATTGATGAAATCATTCCTAAGTACAGGCAGTCCCCTAGCTGCTAATTTAACTTCTGGTAATTAGAATTCACAGTATTCAGCCGATTACATCTACTCATGGCACTGACAGGAGGCAGACAGAATACAAATTAACTCCAAGCCATCGGTCTGCTGCTGAGAGCTCCCAACCAGCCCAGTCCCGAAAGTTCCCTCAGTGTGAGTGGAAACAACCTTCCCTGAAATGTATAGATTTAGATCCCAAACAACACCGGGGGCCTTTGGTTCAAGCTGCCATCCAGGCCCACATCTAGAAAAATAAAGAGATGGCTCAGCTGTTAAAGGCTAGACTCACAACTGGAAAAAAAAAAGTAGGAATTAAACACTGGCTAATGCCCTATGGCTTTTAAGAGCAGGAATACCTTCTATGGAACACCATGATGCTAGGTGAAACTCATCCCGGTAGCTCCGAGTGTGGAAAATGCCTTTGAAAACCATTCTAGGTAAGATCCATAATGTTAACAACCACCCTTTACTCTCTAAGTTGTGAGAATAAGTAGGATGGACCGAGTTCAGAATGGAGCCCTTCACCCGCTTGGGGGTTCAGGCACCTCCCACTCTTTTGGTATCCCTCTTCCTTTGCTGGGAACGGAAGGAAGGTAACTCAGTACAAGACCAGGATGCAGCATATGCTCGTTATAACACCCTGCTTGATGAGTGATGCTTGATAAGTCAATCAAACATTAGTAGTCGGCCTTGATGGCTAATGTCCAAAGTCAGAATTGGAAGCAGCTGCAACAGTTCTGTGTTTTTATCTGGGAACTGACAGTTCAGGTCTTTGAAGCTTCTGAGTAGTCTCCTTGAAGGATGAGTGGGATTTAAAAATGCCTTTGTTTGATCAGCTTCATTGTAGCCTTGGCTAGTGATTTCATAATACGTTCTAGACATTTGTACATTGGATTTAGGTATGGTATATAAGTATGCATTTATGTAGGACTATAGTAGGACTATAAGGAGACCATTTACATCTTATAACTAATGAAATATATTTCAGGTCATTTCTGCGACTTCTACCAAACAAAATGTGAGCATTAGGATTTAGTTGGAAGCAAAGTAGCTCATTATTTGCGTATTCCAGGAAAGGTATGGAGGTTTCCAGGTTTTTAACATGTCTTCATATTCCCATATGCTATGTTTCTCCATTCAATTTCCCAGTAGAAATGTAGCAGCATCTCATACTGATTAGGTACAGGTTTGAAACTTGTAATTTTTTTTTAATGTATGTGCACCACATGTGCACAGTGTGGTGTCTATGGAGGTCACAAGGGGATGTTGGATCCCCTGGAACTGGAGTTACACATGATTGTAAGCTGCCCCGTGGGTGCTGGGAATCGAAGCTCAGCCCTCAGGAAATGCAGCAAGTACTATGTTTTCAACCCAAGAGTACTTTTAAGAGCAGAACTGATTGTTTTACCCAAAACTCATGTGTTTGTTTGCAAACAGAGAAGTCCAAAATACTCATTTTGTTATGATTGTCTAGAAGATTTTATTGATAAATACTATATTAATTACAGTGTCCCTTCCTCTCGTTTTCACAACCACATGGTTCCCTTGAGTTATGGAAGGTAAAATCTGAGGAAACCTGTAGACTAAGCTGCACTCAAATATGAGTATTTGCTTACCAAAAAAAGCATATTAAAATCATTGAATTAAGAAGCTTTTGTGGTAGGAAAATGGAATATGTCTCTCTTAAACAGAAGTTAAAGTTAAAGTGATAGTAGAAGAAATCTCCCCATCCTCTAATGTCAAGATATCCAAGTCTCTAAACTGTGATATCCCACTGTACTGAGTTTGTTATATTTGTGATGTTGCCCAAAAGATAATCATTTGCAAAAGGTGTGTTTATAGCCTGGTGCCTCTGTTAACTATTTTTGGACCGGGACTTTGTTAACTGTATACCTCCCAGCAGTCATGGCTCCTGCCACAAACTAGGCAAGGCAGCATTCGAGTGGCAGCGACATATTCCCTCAGGGAAGGAACGAAGTTAGAAGATGCCCTGGATCACTTTCTAAAAAAAATGGAAATTTAATGTGTAAGGAAATGGATTGCATGTCCAGTCCAATGGCAAAAAAAAAAACTCAGAACCTGTAGTGAAAACCTGAGGTGGCTCATGCTTGGAATCTGAGACAGAGGCAGGTGGCTGGTCACAACTTTGTGGCCAGCCTGAGATATGAAGTAAGATTTTTACCTTAAAAAAAAAAAAAACCTAATATAATAATGCCATGTTATATTAGTATTCCCAGTGAAACTGAGAATTTTATTGGTGAGAAATACAGTGCAGAGAAAATTGCTGTATTAGGAAAATTGAAAATCCATGTTAAATGACTATGTTTTTCATGTCTGTTAATCTCTTCCTTTGAGAAAAGTTAAATTATATATAACAGCAAACTTTTTAAGATAATACTATCATAAGCTAAGGTTTTAAAAACTGTAGATATCACACAAGAATAAGTCAAGTGGGACAGAAACTTGAAGCTTTTATTTTTTTATCGCAAAATATTAGTTACTAAGAAATTTCCATTTAGCTGTTCTGAGCCTTCGGAAAAGAATAAAAAGTTCCCTGCTTTGCAATTCCTGACTAGTGGTTGTTTAATGATTTATTTCCATTTATAAAGCATGAACTGGAAGGCAAAACAAAGCACAGGGCTTTTAGCAACTGGGAAGTTATTTGATTGCAGCCCTTCTGCAAATATGAATTCCATATTTAACTGTAATCAGCAACCTCTTAAAAGCCTCTTTTGTCCTTAAAAGTAGGCTTCCTAGAGCCCGCATCTGTCATAATTCGGTTCTGAAGCCTACAGAGCTCACTGCATTTACCCTCTATATTCAGATTCATAAGAGTAAAAGTCAAGGGAACAGGGGCAACATCCCAATGTGTGACACTGTGAACAAATCAATCTTCCTCCAAATGGTCATCCTTTGTTGTCATTCCAGCTGTTGGTTGGGATCATCCAAGCTGCTGAACTTCCTGCCTTGGACATGGGGGGAACATCGGATCCATATGTCAAAGTCTTCCTGCTGCCTGACAAAAAGAAGAAATTTGAGACAAAAGTTCACCGGAAAACCCTCAACCCTGTCTTCAATGAACAATTTACTTTCAAGGTAGATTTTTGGGTTGAGTTATAGCTTCACCTTCATTGTTTTCAATTAAATACTAGTTTCAACATGACAGCCATACAAGCATAAGCATGAACGACTTACTCTAGGGCTCACCACAGTTGTGTTTGGAACATTTTACAATCAATTTTCAGTTTCATGAAGAGTCGGCATTGGAGGTTTTAGCTGTGTGTTTGCAGCATAGAATGTAGACCTTTCAGTATCAGAGTCACACCTAAAAAAGCAAGGTCCATTCATGTATGCCAATGGGCTTTGACAATGCACCCCCACTGTCTCCAAAAATAAAGGCCAAGCTATTTTTTCCCAGGGGGGTCCAAGGCTCTGCAGTCAGAATGGGGAAAGCTGTTCTCTGGTGTTTACCATGCTATCATGGGAAGGTTTGAAGGTTTGGACATGCTGAAAGCCCTTCCTCCTAGCAATAAAAAGGCCATGGGCTTCTGTGGCATCATCCCTTTACTCTAGCCTTTTCGTCACGCTGAGACCCATCAGTTGACAAACAATAACCAAGAGCCATTCTGACCATAGGACAACTCGTCAAAATGACATGCCCTGCAAGCCGCAAGGCACCTTGTAGCTCTTCACTGGAAATCATTCATAAAAGCAGCGCTTCTGGTGGACATGTGGAATTGTTTTAAAATATTTCCCTTAGAACAATACACTTCTAGAAAATGGAATGCCTGTGAATATGCCAGCAGGCTGATTGAAAATTACCCCGTCCACCAGCCAGGCTTAGCAATAACACTTGTGCCTTGTGTTGGCAAACATTCCCGTGGGAATTGGAAAGGGGGCGTGAGTCACCTCTTCAAAGCTTGTTTGCAATTTCATGAAAGAACATTCTTTAACTTCTTTAATGTTTTTGAGTTTTAAACACATAAATCCTTTACGTTTTCTTTGCCTGGACCAGTGCCTAGCAGTACTAAAAATAAGTCATTATCGGCCCTATACCAAGTAAGTTAAATATCAGTTACTTATAGTCTTGCAAAGAGTAGTCAATAGCATTTTCTTTGGTTGTATATTAATGTTTTTAGGTCAGCAATTTCTAAAGGGAACTTAATGGAGTCTTCTATTATTTGAAATAATATTGTAGTGGCTCCCTCCATTACTTCATGTGATTTCTTGGAAGCATATCGGTAAAAATCTATAAACTTTTATGCTTTCTAGTCTAAATGACTTGAAATTTTTTGAAACAATAACACCAATAATATTTTGCAAGAGATCATCATAAAGCCAAATGCAATTGAGTTTCTTATTCTTTCAGGAAGGTAGATCAGGCTGCATATGTACTCAAAGGACAACTATTTAGAGGCATTTGAGAAATATGTTGATTTCTGCAGTAGACATTATAAACTACCTTGAAATGCCAGGTAGCCATGCAATATAGAAAAAGAAGATTTTTCTAGATTGGCTTTCAAGTAGCATTAAATGTACTTAAAATGAACAATATATCCAAAAATAAATGCATCTTCTTTCCTCTAAAATAAACTTGCATTTTGAAGGAGGTGTTAATCAGAAATGACTCTTAAGTGCCCACCGTGGGCCAGATGTCTAAAATATTCTCACCCGTGCTCAGAAGGCCTCCATGGCTGGAGTTTGATGAGAAGCTGAGTCAGATCATCTGTCCCAGATACAGGCCTAAGTAGACTAAAACACAGACATCATGTGCATGCTTCAGCATGATCAAAGATTCAAGAAATAAATTTGAAATTTGAAGGATTTCTAAACTCCCACTTCAAAATTTGTTGCTTCCACTGTAATTCAGATTTTTCAAGTTAATCTTAGATTCTTCCTAAAGTAGAAAAACATTATACTTAGCTTTTTATTCACTGGATTTTAGAAAATAACCTAATTATGACCATGATTAACAAATGACAAAAACACTGCTTAGAAAGCCCAAGTTTCTTGAACATAAGTGGTCAGATAGTCTTTCATTCCTTTCCATTCTTAATAAGAGTTAATTAAGAAATGTTCCAGTTAATTGAGAAATGTATTCTGGGGCATAAGACAGCATTTATGCTGATAAAAAAGTGCATGTATGAAAACTGATCAAATATTTAGTACAAGCCTAAACTACCTCTCAATTAAACATTTCTACCCACCTACTGGAGTGTAGCTAACTTGGACTGCACAGCTCTCCCTGAATATTAAAAATGTCACTAATAAGCTTTTGAAACCATAACATTGGTCCCAAATGTATTTGATTGAACAGCTGGAGAATTCACTCGCTCTTGGCCTTTTGCTACTATTCATGCTAAGAAGTATCACACTTACAAATGAACTTCAAGATTCTTATTATAATGAATCTCTGATATTCAAAACATCAATTTTCCAGCCAGCTCATGTCAATCACTAAATTATTTTAGAAAGTATGTGAAGCACCTTTGAATTTCATTTAAATCTTTGTAGACTATCAGCACAGCTTTGGAGAAGTCACCCTCCATTTAACTATGGTCTAGAGCTGTGAATGGTTTCTCAACCTTCCTAACACTGTGACCTTTATTAATACAGGTAGCTCCTCGTGTTGTGCTAACCCCAACTATAAAAATCATTTTCGTTGCTATGTCACAACTGTAATTTTGCTACTGTTATGAACTATAATGTAAATATGTATTTTCTGATGGTCTTAAGCAACTCCTGTGAAAGGGCCATTCAACACCCAAAGGGTCGTGAACCACTGGTGTAGATGGTTTGAAAAAGTAATATCCATTAAACTGGTGTCTAAATGACTTGAAATTTTTTGAAACAATAACACCAATAATATTTTGCAAGAGATAGTCATATACCCGAATGCAATTGAGTTTCTTATTCTTTCAGTAATCATAGAGTAATTAATAGGAAGGTCCATTAATGATAATACCGACTGCTTCTAGAACCTTAGAATAAAATGATACACCACTAGAACAGTTTTCCATTTTCTCCCAAGTAGTTCAAGTTCCAAGAAATCGGCTATAAGAGTCAATGGAGGACAAAATCCTGTTGTTTCTCCAATATATGTATTAAAGGCTATGTACAAATAACAGGTTTTAAGCATTCTGTGACTAAATGGCTTACCCCCTCCTTCCATTCAGGTGCCATACTCGGAATTAGGTGGCAAAACCCTGGTGATGGCTGTGTATGATTTCGATCGCTTCTCCAAGCATGACATCATTGGAGAGTTCAAAGTTCCTATGAACACTGTAGATTTTGGCCACGTGACTGAGGAATGGCGTGATCTCCAGAGTGCTGAGAAGGAAGAGGTAGGAAAGTCATTATCATTTCTAACATGACAAGTTGTATTCATTCACCTATTGCTGTTCAAATACTAAACCATAGAGAGGTGATCTACCTGGGCCTTTAGACACTAACTAACAGCTGCCAAAACAGGAGTCCGAGGGATTGCATTGCCCTGCAATGTTCAGGACTTAAAAGACTCTAGAGAGGTACACACACTGGGCATATGAACAATAAAAGGACAGTCAAAAATCATTTTGTATGGTCTCCATGGGTTTCAGAGCTAGTACAATGAAGTGAAAGAGTATATTTTCCTCAATTATGTCTGCATATTGAAATGTTTTAACTCTCATGCAGATATCAAGCTTAATGGGTTAAGAAAACTAACACACAAAAGCTGATACTACATTTTTTTAAAATGACTCACATCTTCATGGTACAGTTCACATTGTTTTCTTCCTAGTTTTAACAGCTTTGTTTTAAGAGATAGTATTTTTTTCTATCCTTAAAAAAAAAAGTTCAATATCCATAGTGCATTTGCACTCCATAATAACCAATTCTGTTTGATAGTGCCATGCCTGCCTGGCATGGGCATTCTGCTGTGTGAAAGTCTCAACAGGATATTAGAAACTCAAACAGCCCTTCGCATCTCCATAAACTAATCTCTTCACAGCCCCTCTCTAGGATAATGACAGATAGTCTCCCAGGGACCCGTGAATGGTGCAGTCACTAGGATCTCTACTTACCAGGTTCATGGTATAGGGTTCTACAATCACACCCAGTGGATTTCCAAAAAGTGCTTTTTGCCTGCATTTAGGAAATGTTCCTGATAGTCTATATACTCTCTCTTTCAAGAACTCCTGAAGTAAATGGAGATTTAAGACAATACTAAACTTGCAGGTTTGACCTGAGTCGGCAAAGACTGTCCTTCTCCCCTAGGTCCCCACTACCTTCCTCCTCCGCTTTCCTCTCCCACCCTTTCCTTAAGACACATGTCACCCAAATCCTGGAGAACAACTCATTCTGGAAATGTGCTACTGTACTTTCAGTGAAAACAACAGGTGTGTATGCGTCTCCAGTTGCCTCTTTTTCTACCTCCTTCCTGTCCTTGATATCACCAACTAAGAAAGACCTAGGTCACAATCAAAATTTTGTATTATTTCAGTTATAGCCCTGGCACCTAGAACCAGTCACCTGCGCACTTTCAAATTCATTGTTTTGTTCTAAAAGGTGGGGTCACTATACCCATCCTTTATAAATAAGATTGTTGGAAATGTACAACTCCTCACATAGAGTCTGGCAAATGGCAACTCTTCAGTAGAGGAGAGAATGTAGAGGAGAGAATGGTTGCCTAGTCTATTTCCCTATTTCCCTACTCTCCTCTTTTGCCTCCATCTGTATCGACTCCGTTCTATTTTCTCAGCACCATTGTACTGACTGAAAGCTACTGGATGTTTTCCATGGGAAACAACAAACCATTATAAAGTCTTGGAACACACTGCCCTTTGGTCCAGTGCAGAGGCCTCCCCCCCCCCCTCTCTCTATTGTGAAATAGGAAACTTCCTAAAAATAGGTATCATTCAGCTTGCCTTGGCTTGACTAGATGCAGGTAGACCCTTTCTCGTAGGAAAGGAAATAAGATCCAATTACATTTCATATCTCCAGAGTCCCTTGTCCTCCGTGTTATGTGCTGTGCCTTTTTCTGTTAAAAAGAATTGTGTGAGTAGACTGAAGTCTTGGACTGACTTCAGTCCTCAAGAAGACTTCAAAGAACTGTTTTCCCGTTTTCCACTTGAGCTATTGTGTTCATGATTTCATTTCACCTCCCAATGTTGCATGTCATTTTAAAGTCATAATGAGTGGAAAGATTTAAAAGAACAGCTTTGGAATGAATAATAATAATAACCATAGGAGGCTTTTCAACCAGAGACTGACTTGGATAGAAGCAGGCTAGCCCAGGCCCAGAGTTCTATGGCTGGAATGTTGATAGACTGGTGCTTTACCAGGAACCTGACAACCATTGGGGGCATAAGACAATGAAGTAGTTGCATAGGCAGAAGGACAGCATGCTACTTAATGGCTGACCCACATGTGAGCAGTTTAGAAAGGGCTGGGCAACTGGCTGTAGTGAAAGGCTCAATGGGAATGCATGTCATCACAGGTTCAGAGAGGAGACTGCGAGCGCTGGCTCTCTCTAGACTCCGATTATCAGCCAGCATTGCTAGAGAAGTTTCCATCCGGGTCAGTGCTCCTCAGATTAACACCATCCAAGCTGCGGGCTGGTTTGGGCTCACTGCCATGTTTTCTTTTGCCTTGTGTACTATGACTGACTACCCTCCCCACTCCCCTCCCCCCCACGTTCCACCTTCCCATTTTGCAACAGAAGGAGGTAGAATTTGACCTTGGAGACAGTACGACCTTTCTCTCCAGAGGTGGCTACATATGAAACCATTAACTTTATCCAATTTTCCTCTCAGTCTGTAGCCTCAAAATCATCCCATATAATCAACATATATGGTTTCCTCCCATTTGTAAAAGGCCCCAAATATGAATTCACCAGGCTGTCTATGTTGAGTTTTTCCCATTTTCTTTTTTGTTCGGTCAATCAATATATAGTTTCTCATGTCACCCAAAGTCACATCTGGAGCCAACCATCACACTTTCAGAACAATCCATTCATTCCTTTAGTATTTGTTTTCCTACGTTACTCCAAACACTACGGTCAGCAACTGTGACTCCCATGTTTTCTAAGTTGCCTAGTTTCAAATTTGTCTCGTTCCTGCATCTAGTTTCAAGGACATGGATGTATTTTCATCCTCTGCATGTTTGTTTCTTATTGTCCTGCTCATCTCTGAGGTGGCGGAAAGAATTCCCAGCTTTTTCTGCGTTTGCACCTTTGCCCTGATGGGCCTCACACTGGCTTTCTCTCTGGTACAAAGTAAGTCTGTCACCTCCCTTAGTGTGAATTCGTTAGAGTGCTTTTTAAATGAGGCTCCATAACCCAGTGCAAATGGGGAAAAAAATTGATTGCTGAATTAAAACAAGTTGGGACATAATTTAATTAGTAGCCAGGCAGAAGGGAAGAGAAACTACTTTAGGTCCTTAATGGAAAATCAATTTTGCAAGAAAATTTCACATTTTTAAGCCTAATTAGAAAAACATTTACTTCACAGAAAAGCATTCTGAGAATACATATTCAATCAAATGGCAGGGTTTTCAGCTTCCAGGGGTCCATTTTTCGGTGGTTCCTCGAAACGAGTTGAAGTTATTTCTCACAGCATCTTTATGGCCAAAGATCATGAAACATTTGATGTCGTTTCTAAGCACATTTAGAAGTTTGATGGCAAGTCAAGCAGTCAGAGCTATTCCCCCCAACACATACCAACAAACAAGCTGTGATTGGAAATAGCTGTAGCTGATCATGTCAACAGCAGCCTTGCTTGGCACTCCTAGACCATCACCTTTATTTAGGAAATGCACTGAAAGCTGAAAGCATACACACTTAATCCACGGCCTTTCAGGAAGACAGCGACAAATGCTGTGTTTCCAGTCTGGAGCTGCCCTTACTGTTTCCTCTGGAAAAAGTTGGGAGCAGGGACAAGAGAGACTCATAGAAAATCAATGCTGTTACTTTTTTTGACAATTACAAAAATAACCAATTTGCTCCCCCTAATTGTTTGTGATGTCTTCTTCGCTGTTTCTTTCCTACTGTCTCATCGCCCTTATTTTCATCCTGCTTACATGATTAATATAGAACCTTGTGGGTTAGCTTTAACAAAGTTTTACCAGGAAAGGTTAAACAATGATATAAGTCTCTGCTAGAAACATGAAAATTTACCCAGGGGAATAGGAGGATGGATTTTAGGGAGAATTCAAATAATATGATCCATATCCAAATTTACCATGCCTCGAAAATTTGTTGTTAAACAAACATATGGTATAATAGATCTCAGCAATACAGAGGTATTTTATAGTCTATTAGACCATGATACCCTTCAGGCTCTTTGGTTTCTATGTGTCCATTCTATGGGATTTGAAACTTATTGATTTTACCTTTTACCTTATCCTATAGAAGCATAAACACAGTTGGTGGTTTTTATGGTATGTCTTTGACCAGAATTCAATCACTAGTTCTATTTTAATGCATAAAAAAATACTGTTAGCTTATAAATTGGTTAGGAGTGAGAAGTTGAATTGGTATCTTGGGGAATGAGATTGAAGTAAGTGACGGTCTATCCCTTCAACATTGAACTGATAAATTTAGACTAAGGACAGAAGGCTCCTACAACTAAGACTAAACATCAAACACGAAGCCACCCACCCTGCATACCCTGTGCCAAACATTGTACTTCTTAGGTTATTGTTCGTGTCACCATTTCATACATAGAATGATGCGGCTATCCTGCACTGCCCAGAAAATAAACAGCTCCAATGATTTAGACTCAGGACTATCAGGCTCCAGAACCCATGTCCCCTTAGCCCTTCTGCATTGCCACTGCGCTGGCTGACCTCAGTGAGTGCAGGGCGATTTCCCATGCCTGCTTTTCCTACCAAAACATCCATAAACTTAAGCATGTAGTTACCGGCAAATTGGCTGAACTAATTAAAACATATTGAGAATTTTCTTTCCCAATCATGTGACACCAACCCTGCTAACATTAAGGGGACTATCCCTGGTGAATACCCAACTACAGCCATCCAGGTGACCAGAATTGCAGCAAAGGCCTACCTACATTTGAGTTACAGGTCTTCCTCAATACAGAACATCCTCCTGCCTGCCCTGCTCAACAGTGGCAGGCAGTCTTTGTATCCCATTCAGTGGGCCGTGTAGCGTCCAACAGTGATAATGAGTTGATGAGGGAAGCCGGCGAAAGAATTTTAGGTACAGAGGAAAGCAATGGGGTGGGTGTTCTCTTAAGACACGTACTCAGCTTTTGACCAAAATGTTCTGAACATTAGCAGTGTTCCCCAGTCTCTCAAATGGCTTATTGTGGGGCAGATTCTCACTGAATTTCACGAATTTCTC